AATTATCTTATCTATATCTTATTATAGTTAGACTTCATTATTGTAATGCTCTCTCACCTCCCGATTGATTTTTTAAAAGTAATTTGTAGTAGCCTCAACACAATACCCAATATGACCATAACAATTGACCTTGGACTAGATGATGGCTATTGAAATACTACCAAAAGTAAATAGTCTGGCTCTTGCTTTGAAATTAATGAAATAGGAGTAGACTATTTCAAAAATCCAAGACCTTTTTAATCCACAATAACATAAAGTTTCATCACAAAATAAGATAAAATAGTCTAGAATAAAAATAACACTAGATAGAATTAAATAAAAAAGGACATGAAAGACAAAATTGAATAAACATAAATAAAATAAAATTAAATTAAATAAAATGATGTAAAACCAAACTCTACTTAGAAAGAGAGTCTAAAGCTATACTTAACCAAATATCCCAAAAGATCATAGTCAGTCTTATTTATATCTTGTCCTATTACCCTAGACTTTTTAGAATGTTCTTAGGTGGTGGGCCTTACATAGATAATTATCTTAAATTCTTTTTCTAGAAGGTTTTGTAGTAGGCCCTATCTAAATAACCGCCTTGAATTCTTTCTAAGATGTTCCACAATGGGTCTTACTTGGTCCATTAATCTAACCCCAATTCTAAAAACTTCTATAGTTCTAACTATCTATACAATTATCTTATCTATATCTTGTTACACATTGCCTCATTGTATGAATCTTTGTTATAGGCATTGCCAAGTTAATAAGTAGAAATATATTGGTTTATTGCAAAAGCTAATTAGCATGTAATAGAAGTCAAAAGACATCATATTCATGTGACTAATATCCTAATATTGTAAATGGAATAGATCAATTGTAATTGTGATGATTCATATGTCATTGAACCAAATTCAAAGTACATGGCTTTATATGTAATGCTTGGGTTTGAAAAATATAACATGTTATCCATCATATAATATCATATTATTCCATATCTAAAAGAAATAATAGTATATGGCAAGGCCTAATAAGTATAGGATGAAATTTTGTTTGAATAAATGGACATACTTATGTAACTATCAAATGATGGAAAATCCAATAGGAGCTGAACCATGTAGTGATGTAATTGATGTTTCAATAGCTTATATAGTTATTATTTGTAATGTCAAATCCTTAAATTAAAATAATACAATGTAACATGTTCATACTGGTGTTAATCACAAATTTAGATTGATTTATGCATAGGTGCTTATATTGATATTTTAGGTATAGATTCCACTTGATGTAGCTCGCCTTACTTGTTTATCTTTTTGAGATTCTCAAAGTAAGTTGTAAGGCATTCTATCTTACTTTTGTCAAATTATTAAATTGTCATGGATATACATATTTATTATGATATTTACCTATATGATTAAATAGAAATAGATAAAAATATATTTATTTTATAATATTTTCTAAAAAAACTATTTAAAAGCTTCATAGACACTCTTTTGATTTTACATATATTTGTAGGATAGAAACTTGGTCAATAACTTAACCATGAATTTATAGCTTGCTGGAAAAAACTAATTATGTGGCATACATATAGAAAACCTGCCTTAGAAGTTAAGATATGTAACTTGCAAAGTCAACACGATTTGGAGGTCTTTTAGGATATTACCATGTAGAAATTATATATGGAGGCAAGAATGAAGCCTTCTTCACTTTTGTCAATGCCTTTCTAGTCTTTAGTCTTATTTCATGACTTTTTAGTCTTCTTATTTTTTATAATAGCTATTCTAATTTAATATTATATCATCTTTAAGTGACTTTCTAGTTCTTTTGAGAAACACAAGAGTGTATTGAGGATTTCTTTCTTCAAGACTCATGTCCTTAACATGAAGTCATCTATTTACAGCCCTTGCATGACTTAAAACCTCTTATGTTGTTTGGCTCACCTGATTGAAGTTGTATACATTTATTTGAATATCTTCATCTTTCTGATCACATTGTTAACTTTATATGATCTGACAACTCTACTAAAATATTAGCTTGGTACAAATCTTATCAAGATTCAAACTAATCTCTTAGTATAAGTTCTACACCATGCATGCAATGATTGAGAATTTACTTTAGGTACATATAAAATAAAATCAAAGATGTTTGAACATCTTTACAATAGAATCTCTGAAGATGCAAAAAAAATCATATATGCAATTAAATCCTAACTGCCTATATGTTGCTAATTAATCTTCCAACTAGTTGTCTTCAAGATTCTTCATTTATCAATATAAAGGAATGATACAAGGATTTGCTTGCTTCATTTACGTAAGTAAGACATGATGTCAATCTAATTAGTATAAATAAGATTATGGCTATGCCAAATCTTATTCCTACAAAGAGATTCTTAATTCAACCAAAAGCCCATACTAGCACTCTACCATCATAAATACATACTTGCAAGTAATTCTACCTTGATAGCATAATAATATCAGTAAAATATTAAAACTAGTAATTTTTATTACCACATGGAGTGCAATGCATCAACATTAGAGCTTTGGTACTACCAAAATCATAATCATAAGCATGCACTATGGCGACAAGATCACCAAGAAGTGCCAATAGATGATATTAGCTTGAGAATATATGCAAACTTAAATTCTTAGATAAGATTGGTATTACTAGGTGCATAATTTCTTCATTCCTGCCTTATCTTGTTTTGCTTCTTATTTTTTTTATTACTTTATTTTTTATTTTATTTTATTTTATTTGAATACATATATATATATATATATATATATATATATATATATATAATTTTTACAAGAGATTAGTATCAAATTTTAGAGCCATGGTATATATAAGAGCAATGAAGTGAGATCTTGCAATTTGGCTACTTAAATGCATACATTTGTAATTTGTGCTTCACTTAATATTAATGGTTGCAATTTCTAGATTTACCTTGTACATCGAGTTGGATCAAAAGTTGAGTACAATTCTAAATATTAATTGATTTTAAATTTAGTCTTAAGTAAGGAAAATAGAATAAATTTGTGAAAAGAGTCAAAATCCTTCTTTTTAGGAGATATTTGAGATTGAATAGTTAGGATTGTATTATAAATAACTTTGAGATTTTGTTATTAGGTTGTTGTATACCATGTAAAGTATTTGTTTTGCTTATACATTAGATGAAATTTAATGTGTTATATATATATATATATATATATATATATATATATAAAAGTAACAAAAATATAACAAAAGTATTTAGGAATATGTTGGATAAATAATATATTATTCAAAAACAAAATATTGAAGTCTTATAAATGCGGATTTGAACTTTTTATATCATTATATATGGCATTTTAGAAATAAAACTTCTTTTAGAAATTCTTTTGCATCTAAAAAATCAATACATAAGCGTCCTATTATTTGGACATTTGATTTGTAAACCTCATGGTCTTTAAAAAATATATCACATGGTTTTCTAATATTTAGTACATACAAAGGTAAGATTAATAAATCTTTAATTCTTAAGGTGTACATTTTTTTAAAAACAAATTTAATATTTTACTATCATAAATATTTATTTACTTTATTAAAACTAATTAATTAAAGATATCACATGTCTATTTTTTTATTGACTTATAAAATAATTATGAAAAATATTATTACTTTAATTAACATTTTTAATTCTACATATAAATATAAATGTATATGATTCTTTTACAAATAATAATTTTATCTTTTAAAATAATCCAATAAATATGATTCTAATCATTCATATATTTTAAATAATAGTATATAATATTTATATAAAATATGATCTACAATATATAATATTAAATCATAAGCATGTATTTAATAAATAAATAAACATAGCTTAAAGCATTTATTAAAATTATATCTAAGAATATCAATTATATAGGTTATTGTATCAATTTTCTATTTATTCTTTGAGGAAAAATAAATAAAAATTGTCTAACTTTTTTTGTTGAAAAATTAATTGATTATTTGCATGATTTTTTTTGTAAGTTTCATTTTTACAATTATATATGTTTTTTTATTTGTTCTTTCATTCTTATAGATAAATTAAAAAATATATGTATATATATATATATATATAGAGAGAGAGAGAGAGAGAGAGAGAGAGGGAGAGAAAGAGATCCAAAGTTTTATTAAATCAATCTATCCATCATCACAAAGCACATAGAATGTTTGCCTCATCTACATCATCATTACTATAATTTGCAATTGGATTAATACAATAGTGAATGTAGTTGGTTTTCATTGGTTGTAAATCCAATAGTAGAGAAATGAATCTAGAAGTTAGAATGGGTGGATAAATTTAGATCATGTTAACATTTTTCACTTATATATATATATATATATATATTGATATTTTTTATTTGTTTATTATTATTATTATTATTATTATTTTACATATAAATATGCTCTTCTTTGGCTATTTTATTATTATTTTTGTGTGGATTTTATGAAAGATGCTTGTATAATTCTTAGACATATTTTTACATTGTGATTTAATATTGTATTATATCAACATATTAAGGAAGTTCAATTACAAGATAAAGAAATAAAGAAGTCTTCTAATTGGATAATTGGTTAAGATAAAGAAGTCTTTCTATTGGCCAAAAACATACATTATCCTTTCACAATGTAAAAATATATGTTGCCCTTTTACAATGCACTTCTCTAAATACAATCAAGATTGTGAATTTACACTGACAATCCTTACATCTCATGGCAAATATTTTAAATTTGCACATACCAATAATTAAGCTGTACCAACAAACTCATACATCCAAATGTTTAAAATCAACTTCTGTAACACTTAATACTAATGAATAAACGCTCATACAACAAATATCCTTTTCATCAAAAACAATGTAACAACCTTTTAAAATGGATGACGTGGCACTGGAGCAACGCCATGTCATACAACGTGGAAAGGAAATGTCGAGCAAACCCTGAATGCGACCACGAGAGGGAGGCATCATCATCAGCATCATGCATGCATCGATGGATCCATGAGAGCAAGCACCCGATAGAGTGGTTGTGTCAATGCCGAGCATGTACCTACAGTGGGACCGTGATCCTGATCCTGCATTTTACGCATGCTCTCCATCTGCGATTGTCTCCGCCGCTAGGTTCCTCTCGTCATGGTGAAGCGTTCGCGATGCGATGTTGTGGAGTATGGGAAGTAAAACCTTAGTTATTAGGGTTTCGGGTGAGTACATGACTTTGGACTCAACGATGCCGTGGAATTGGTGAAAGCGGGGGGGGGGAGGGGGGGGGGGTTGTGGAGTTTGTCGTGTGGAGGAAGAGCGGGGCAGTGGAGGAGCTGCGCGGAGGCGGTGGGAGAGGCACGGCATCGCAATTGAGCGTTTCGGGTTTCGGAGGCGGAGGAAGCGCAAAAACCCGAGAGGGATGGATGTGGATCCTCGCCTTTTTGAAAATGTGGTATGGTAGTTTGTGTTCTCAACAGCGGCGATCGTCCTTGTTAGAACCACAGAGCTTGATGTCTTGCATTTGTTTGTTATGACTTTCTCCTGTTATTCAAACCTATCATTTTCTGGGATTCGTACGTGTGGTTACTTTGTTTGGTGAATAATACATGTGTTTGAGTATACTTGGATTTCATTTTGAATTTCTGCAGCAGTCAATTTCGTTCACCATTTTGTTGCAGTTTGAAGTTGTCAATTAACAATAGAAAGGACTCCAAATTGCTCAGAGGTGTTGTGGTGTTGCACCAGAAGGTGAGCGACAGCGAGGTGCGCAAGATTGTGTTGTCGTATCTCGTTCACAATTGCTTCAAAGAGACAGCTGAATCGTTCATTGCCTGCTCTGGCATGAAGCGCACGGCCGACTGCTCTGTTGATATCGACAAGAGAAAACGTGTGTTCTCTCATTCAAATTGCTTAAGTTAGTGGTGGTTCAGAGTCTGTTGTGGATGGTTGTTCACTTTGGTCAATCAGTTGTCTGATTATTGCAGGTACACTGGAGCCACATGAAATACATATCCACTTGGAACTGGAAAATTACTCAACCTAATAACCTGCTTACAATAAATGTCCCGATTTAATCTTAACATGCAGAGGGCTTGTCCGAGCCGTGCTTAATTGTCTATTGTCGGTGTCTAGCTCATTCTGCTATACATTTAATATGCCTGGCCCCAGAAGGAGATAAGTTCTCAAAGAGTGAGTCTCTTACAGCAGCTGGCAAGTGTATGAACTAGGGAGTACACCTTCAGTTGTGTAGATCGGTTTCGAGGAATTGGTCAATATCTTCTATCGACTTCCTGGTGACATTCGCTTCAATTCACTGTTGAGGAGGAAACGGACTCATAAACGGACTATTTTAATTTTATTTATTTTAATTTAATTTTTTTGTAAATGTATCGAACTGACTTTTTGCTTCTGATGCAGCAATTTACAACCATGTACTGGAAGGGAATGCTCTGAAGGCCATCGAGCTTACAAACGAGCTTGCTGTGGATCTTCTAACTTCCAATCCGGATGTACATTTTGATCTTCTGATACTCCACTTTATCGAGCTAGTTCGAGCTAAGGATTGGTACGACCTCATGTATTTCGAAATCGTTGTACATATGTTCATCATTGGCTTCGTTATTCTAGACCTATTACACTAGATACTGATTATCCGGTTTACGCTTAAAAGAGCTTCTCAGGGTAGAAGCAAATTCTTAGAGTGACTGAAACCGATTGCCTTAGAATGCAGTGCGAGTGCATTGGAGTTTGCTCAGAAAGAGCTGCGACCTTTTGGGAAACTACTAGAGCGATGCCTAGATAAGCTCCAGGTCAGTTGTCTTGATTGTGCCTTAAGACTTCTTTCTTTGAATGGCTTGCTTTATGCACTTTGGTGTGTATTTTGTATGTTAATACGGTTTTGTGTAGTACGTTTCAATGTCTCGTGCGTTGAACATTATATCAATTTAGAAGGGCACATAGTGAGTTTTCAGATTTTTTTTCTCATGTGACGTTTAGCACCATATTTGTCACGTTATCTGTAAAGGTGGTCTGTATGTGGTAACCGTGATAGAGAATCAGAGTTCTAACTTCAGTATGTAAGGCATTTTCTGAAGTGGCTTGCAGGATTGTATGGCGTTGCTAGCATATGATGATCCCGAAACTTCTCCCATGTTTCATTATCTGTCTTTGGAATATCGCCATAGCGTGGCAGATGCGCTGAATTCTGCCGTTTTAGGTATGCTTCCAGTCAGATCATACAAATTTTGGTTGAGATACTTGCGAAGAGTATTTACTGCACGTGTGTCTACATGACAGCATAATCTTCTATGGCTGCCAATTTTCACTCTGCCTTTTTCTTTTGTTATTTTTCTTCTGAAAAGAACCAGGGCAACTTGCTAAGGTCACTTAACTTATATGTGGTGCCGCTGGTGACTTGGATGTAGCGCATGCCAATTTACCAAGCTATACATCAATGGAGAGATTGCTGCAACACACAACAGTTGTAAGGCAGCGGCTTAATCAAGAACTTGGCAAGGTAGCATTCGAATCTGTAACCTAGTATTAATGTCACGTTCATCACAACGAGGTTTGGACTTTCTTACATCTGGAGAATTTTTTGAGATTCTTGTGAGATTCCTTTATCTTCCCATGGTGGTATTAGGCATTCAGCAGTATTCTTAACCTGGGAATTGATCTCAAGTCCGTAGTGTGTGCCATCCGTGCTCTAGGATCTTTTAAACCTTTTGTCTTTTTTTTGTTTTTCCAAAATTGTAATCGGCGAGGAGACAAATTTTACATCTGAACCGTAGTGTGCTCGAAGAAAAATATCGTTCTACTCGATATCTACAGAATCCTCTGCAATTATTTCAACCAGTCTGTTAAGACATTGAATTTTCGGACGTTTTCTTCGGGTATGTCAAGCATAGGTTTCTGTTCATTTTGAAGTAAATATATTCAGAACTACAATATAATTAACTGAGTATTTTGTTTTGCAGGATGGACCTCCAACCTTCACACTTAAAGCGTTCTTGAAAAGCTAGATAACGTTTCCGACGTGTTGAAGCTTGTTAGATTCAAGCCAGTGATCATGAAGTGTAAATCTATGTAAAGATCCATGTATACACATTAGGAGCATGAATCTGCTTGAGGACCAACCCTGTATGTAATGCTTCGGAATTGCATCTACGTCCATTGTATACAGTGAGAAGGCATGTAATCAGCTATTTGTCTCGACTTAAAGTATTTCATTCCTTGTCAACTTGCGTCATCAAGCTTGCTTCGTTAATTTGTAACATAAATGTTTTGCAATGCTTCATTAATGTGTACTAGTTTTAAACATTCTTTTATGTTCCTTTGTGTGCAGAAAAATTGCTCAATCATCGTCTCAAAAGTGGGGAGAGTAGTCTACCTGCACTTGTTTAGATGGGTTTGGTCTTTCACGTTTTACTTAATTCTATTTACTTGTATATGCACACGGATATCATAAATAATATTCCGTACTATTTTGCTACATCTTGGTTGTGCAGTTTACTATATCTGTCTGCTTCCTTCTCGTCTATCCTATTTTGGACGTTGCATCTGTTTCAGCAGATCTTCATTCACTTCTAACTGGAATGTAGATTCATGTGAATACTGCCTTTATAACTGGTGGCTTTACAAGTTCTAGGAAAAATAACGCAAAAGCACGGCTTTCCCAGATTTACATGCTGAGATATTAAAGGTTCACGAAGTCATTGTGACTGTCAGAGGCAAGATTTTTTGCCACCACGCTATCTCTTTCTTGGATAGATTTCCCAACCCATTCATTAGTTTTCCCCAGATTACTACTTTTTTCTTTTCTTAAGTTGTTTGCAAAATATCTGTCAGTTGCTGTATTCACTTAATGCACAATGAACATCGGATAAATAAAAGTGAAATTCAAATTGGTGATTTTTTTTGGTTTTAGTTCTTACTAAGTTTTAGTTGCAAAATGTATTTTAAAAGTGAATCATTAAATAAGAGAAACTGAAACAAATTGTTGTATACATTTATATATGAATAACTTTTGGTGGACATTGTAGAAGAGTTAAATTTTGGTAGCCTCTCTTGTCAAGATGTTTTCTATTTATTTGGTTATTTTCAAATTTTAACTCCTTTTGAAGAAGATTGTGATACTATTATTTTGTATTGTATAATTTGCAAAAATGTGTTCTAAGTTGTACTTGCTAAGTATGGAAAAAATTATTATATTTATTCTTTGATTTGTTTAACTATTTATGATTATTATTATTTTTTACCTAATAATATTTCTAGCAAGTTTGATTTCAAATTTAAGATCAAAATAAAATGTCAAAAATACAAGAAGAGGGCTTTTAGTGCCATTGGTGCAAATTTAGACAACCAAAACCTTGTTGACATAATTTGTTGCAAAAGGCTACAAAAACATAGAGAATTTTATATAACATTTATAAGAATAATGATATTTTAGTATTATCTTTGTTTGATGCTACTTTTTTACAGATAAGAAGAATGAGAATATATGTTAGATTATGTCAACTGCGTCAACACACTTAAAAATCAATTAAAAATTATAGATGCTTACATGAAAGGTGTATGTATAATAATAACCTTATTTATAAATTTTCTATATTTATATGTAAGTTCTATCATCACTTCAAGATCCATATTCATTAAAGTCCTCACTATAGATTATGTCAAGTATTGGTGTATAAAATGATTAAGAATAAGGAGAAAGAATTTCAAAGTAGGAACATAACACTTGATTTATATCAACAGAAATGTAGCTTTTTAAATGATGCTCTTAGTAAGCATATATTACAATTTTGGTAAACATTGTCATATTGTTTAAATTTTTTTAAAATTAAGAGATAAAACAAATAAAAAATATATATATATATATATATATATATATTCAATGTTAGTATGTAGATAAATATAATTTTTAGATTTTAAAGAAAATTACATGGTTCTTATGTGAATAATCTTAATGCTTATTTTGTCTAAAATGGGATTAATATAAAGAAAACATAATTTTTCTATGTAGACTAACATCTATTTGTATAGAAGTTGATGTAAAGGATAAAAAGAATAATTGATTAAAAATATCTTTTATATACATTAAAAAATTAAAAAATGCTATAAAAGAAAAAATATTAATCATATTTAAAATTAAGATAGAACCATTAAAAAACTTATTTTAAGATTAAAATAGTATTAATTGTAAATAGATATTTTTATCAATAAAGCTTCTTACTTTTTAGAAAAATTAGAATAATGGAGAAATAGAAAAAAAAAAAAAAATCAATTTGGATAATAATTAGATTGTGGTAATTAAAGATAAATAATTTATTTCTTCTTCTAAAAACTACTTGGTGGTTATATGATTATGTTATAAATCATTTGATAGATCTTAAAGTACAAGTGATGTATTTACTTTTGTACTTAGCTATGTAAAAATAATGTGTTGAATTTAAAAGTTTTAAGATTAATAATTACTAAAGAGATTTTTGTCTTAAAAATTTATTTTAAGTAAAATAAAAAAATAAAAAGAATAATAATAATTAAACAATAATAAAATATATCCAATTCAAATTTTATTTAAATTATTATTTGAATAAAATAAATAATTTAATGAGAAGATACATTATCTATTGCTATAACTTTATTTCATTATTTTTTTTAAAAGTTTTATTTACTTATATATCTTAAATTTATTTATTTATTTATTTATCAATATATTCTAACCATTTGTTATTACATCAATAAAAATACTTTCATAAGTAAAATCTCTAAAAGACAACAAACAACTATCTATGACTTTTATATTCATATATTTAGTTTTTTTTATTAAAAATATTGTAATATTTTTAAAAAAATTATTTATCTAAAAAATAAATTGGAAATCTTAAATCTAAAAATAAAAAGGCTTTGTAATTTTTAGATCCTAAACAAAAATCTATTGTAAAAAAAAATAACGATTCAAAGAAAGAATATGACCTTTACTAGGTCTTATTGTCACGGACATACTCATGTAAATTAGTAATTACATATACAAATAGGTAGAAGTAAATAAAAGTAGGTAAAAGTAAGTTAATTCTATAATATTTAATATAAAAGCTTCCTAGAAGCTTCATAGATGCTGCTTTGACTTCATAGGTGTCTTTAATTGACTTTTTGGATTAGAAACGTGGTCAATAAGTTGGCCATGTGCCACATATGTTGTTAGCTTGAAGATCAAGCTAACTATGTGGCCTACACATAGGAAAACTTGCCTTGTAAGTCAAGGCATGTGTCCTACAAAGTCAACACATATTGGAGGTTTTATAGAACGTCCCCACGTAGCCCCTAGTTAGATAGTATATATAGAGACAAGAGTGAAGCCTTCTTCACTCTTGTCAATTCCTTTCTTGCTTCTAGTCTATTTTCAAGGATCTTTACTTTACTTGTCTTTTGGCAATAGCCATTCTAGTTTCTCTTTCAATATACATACTTATTTATTTATATTTTTTTACCTTTCTTTGAGTGAAGGCTCACTTGTCTGGATTATTTTTTCATCGAGTTCTTGTCCTTGACAGATTGATAAGAGTACACCTACAATATCAGAGCTTTGTCTAATCTTGATTAAGAGTGGATTATCCCTTTTTCTTGATAAGATATAAGCATATTAGAAGTTGCGGATTATCCTCTTCTAAATTGATATTGTCCTTAGTATTTTCTTTGTTCTCAAGTCCTCTCTTCTATTTGTCTTGAGCGATATTAGACATCTTCTCTTTTCTAAGTGTTATCATGGCAGAACTTGTTGAAATGAAGAATGAAATGGTACAAATGCAAGAGCAATTGAAGGAGTTAATGCTTGCGATGCATCAACTCAATTTACCACCACAAGTAGCAATAAGATTGGCATGAAGTAAAGATATAGAAATGGTTGGAGCTGCTTCAACATCTGCACCAAACCATGTCCTTTCTCCTATAGTGGAACGTCCTTTCAGTGTTAGAAAACTAAGAATTGCCCTACCCAAGAAGTTTGATGGCACCAGATCCATTTTCGAGGATTTATCAATCAAGTGCAACTTGTGATTGAACTTCAACCCCAAAGCTATCCAACTCCAGGATTGCAAGTTAGATTCATTGGTATGCTTATTTTAGGTTCAGCACTATCGTGGTTTTCATCTTTTCTTGAACGACGAGATCCAATATTAAATAATCTAGAGACTTTTCTGGCAGAGTTTCGATCCATGTATGGAGAACATGATGTAATTCGTGTTGCAAGTAATAAGATCCGTATTTTACGACAACGCAATCGATTAGTAATGCTGTATGCTTCACAATTTTGACAACTTGCAACTGATATCAAGTGAAATGATGCTGCACTTATTAGCCAATTTTTCTATGGATTACAATATGAGGTAAAAAAATTAATGCTCAACTTACTTGATCCTCAAACATTGAGTCAAGCAATTGACTTTGCTGTGAAGTGCGACAATCGCCTTTTTGAATTTTGATCTGAGAACCATACAAGTGGACCTTAATGTTACTATAATTCAATGGCAATACCAACACCTCTTCAACACATACATTCAAAAGTAGAGGATATGCAAATTGATGCAGTACATTTCAAACCTCTTACTGAGCAAGAAAAGACTTGTCGTCGTCAAGAAGGATTATGTTTATATTATGGAGAACCAAAGCACACTGCTCAACATTGTCCAAAGAAATGACGCAATCACAAAATGAGGAGTATGGCTGTGAAAGAAGACAATATGTCGGAAAACGAGTTTGTTCAGCTACAATAGGGACCGTGCGGCTGGAACCTTGCACAACATCTAGTAAAGGTCCTATTCTCTGCTCAGAGCCCTCTCCTTGTTTTACATTAAATGTTATTTTAGGACCTAAACATTACAAAGTCTCTACCATGTTAGATTCAGGAGCCTCAGCATGTTTTTTAGATGAAGAATTTACTAAAAGACATAGCATATCTTTAGTAAAGAAAACTAAACCTGTTCATGTAGAAGTCATAGATGGTCGTCCATTGTCTTCTGGAGATATTACTCACGAAACCCTTCTTATAGAAGTAATAATCAATGGTCATAATAGTTTTGTAGTATTTAATATCATTAGATCTCCTTCTAATCCAGTCATTTTAGGTTTATCGTGGTTAAAAAAATACAACCCTCAAATAGATTAGATTTCTCAAACTCTTACTTTCTCTAAAAGTATAACTAACAGTGTAGTTAATCAAGTAGAGAGTCATAAGTCCAATTCAATTAAATCCGTATTTATAGGTATAAAAGCTTTCTTGCATGCTGCTATGAAAGAATTACCATATATTATTTATGCCACACTTGTTCCTACTGGTAAAAAGACTTCAAGTGGCATTCCAAGCCAATATCAAGAATTTCAAGATGTATTCGAAAAAAAGAATGCAGATACACTCTCGAAACATTGTCCCTATGATTGCTCAATTGACCTTCAAGAAGGAGCACAACCGCCATTCGGACCAATCTATAGTTTAT